TGTCCCTAGCAGGTTTCATGCACCACCACCATGCTGTTGTCTAGATTGCCGATGCTCCAGAGAAATGGTTCAGTAAATGTTTAAACACATCGCTTTTCAGTGCCTTTTAAAAAATTCACTCACAAAAACGTTTCCCGAGGAGGTTTGTTCACATTAGGTTATGAAGACACCCAACCTCATTTGTTAGTTACACAGCCCTGTGCTGCCCTCTCTTGTTCTGGCAGGAGCAGAGCTGGCAACAAACCCGAAGCTGGGATTATTGATGTCCATGTAGTTCTGCTTTATTCGGAATGGGAGAGGTCTGGAAACAGAACTGGCACCTCTTCCTCTCTCCTGCTATCAGTCTGTGGCTTGTATTACACAGAAGGAGGGTTCAGAGGTTTGATCTATTACAGCTAATACTGCGCACCTGTCTGTCCATTGTAGATAAGGAGTTTACAGACCATACAGAGAGATGAGGGGCCTCATATGGTTCTGGTGTAAGGAGGCTTATCTCCTATTGACTCCAATGCATCTGGTTTCATCTGGGCTGAATTGGGTCCCACATCACAAAACAACCCACACTCCTGACACCAAATGGCCCCCTTGTTAGCAATCTCAGTGATGAGCCTAAGGAGTGAACTCCCCCCTCACTCCTAGAGAGGGCCCCTCCAGAGCAGAGCCCTGGGGGACAGTGTGGACAAAGCTGGCACTCATGTTGCCCATACTGTGTCTGTTTTATGCATAAAGATGGGACTTGAGTCTCCAGGGCTGCCAGTCTGGCTCCTTCATCAGCACTGCAGTTCACAATGCCCAGAGCTACACAACTGCACACTTAAATTTTTTAAATACACCTACGTTTCTTATGTACAGACACACATAACTACACATGCAGAAGGAAAACCATTAAAAAAACTCACACACCTTGGCCACATACAGACAAAAGAGACCAAACACTGAACCTTCAACCCCAAAAACACAGGTTTCCATTAAAAAAGAATTCCTTTAACTGTGAGCACGTTGCAGGTATTTAAACAACTACTAGAGGGAGCCAGGACTACTTACACTGTAAGATCTTCAGGGGAAGGACAATCCTTTTGTTCTGTATTTGTACAGCACCTGGCACAAGGAGATCCTGGTCTATGATTAGGGCTGTGGGGTGCTACCACAAAACAACAACATTACAACCACCCAAAATCCTCCGGGAATTTTGTCACTAAAGCTATCGCAGTGCTGCTATTGCCTGTCCCCGGGACCATAACAGCCAGCTGTCTCATTTCCCTCAGGAAATCAATGTGGTGAAGACATTGCTGGCAAGAACCTGACCTGTGGAGGTACAAACTGGAGAAGAGGCAGAGACTATGCTGTCACCAGGGCCGGGGGGAGGGCACCGGGGGGGAGGGCGGCCAGAGCGCCGGGGGAAGGGCGGCGAGCCCGGCCGTGGCCCCGCTCTCCCCGGGGGCCGGAGCGCCGCGCCGCCCCCCTCCAGGTGCC